GTAGCCCAGAAAACAGGAGGCTGGTGGTGTAGGCAAGAGAGGGGATCATGGCTGGGGGGCCGTCCACGGGCGGTTGGGAAGATCCCTGGAGAGGGGGTCGGCTGTACCGAGAAGGGCTGGCCGTGCTTGGGCAGGTGGATGGCCAGCGCCTGCAGACTGGTGGGAGGAGAGGGGAGAGAGCACGCGGCTGCAGATGCTGCCCTTGGAGCACGAGAGGATCCTGTCCTCACTGAAATGGGACATGAAGTTGCCAGTTGGAAGTTTGGGTGGTGGGTGAGCGTTGAAGTTCAGGGAGAAGGTGCGAAGGTTGTTGGAGAGAATAGGCAGATGAATGAACGGACAGGGAGCAGCAGTGGGACTGTTGGCAGCACGAAGTCCCACGTGTGGGTAATGGTCCTGGCCTTGAGGTGGGGGTCTGCTGGGCAGCAGGAGTGCAGGGCTGGGCTGGCAGAGTTGGATTTAACCAGGGTTTGGACGCTGCCCGGTGACCGCATGAGGGGGCAGAGGGCAAAGAAGTTGAGGATGTACGCAGGAGCGATTATAGGAGGGCAGCAGGGGTGCAGGGGCGGGGAGGGAGAGTGAGTGTGTGGTGACATCGGTGGGGTCGGTAACTAGGCATGCTGGAGGGTAGGAGGTGGTGGTCGGAAAGGGGGATGCTTGAAGCTGAGATCATGGAGGGTGTTGAGATGATGGCACGTGTCTTCCTGTAGATGAGGGCTTGGTGGTTGGTGTAAGGTGCGGGGATCACTGGAGGACAGAGGGTGAGGAACCAGGCGTCTCGTAGTTTAGGCGGCTTCTTCTCCAGGGGCGAAATGAGCAACAGTTAAGACGGGAGTGGAGGGATGATAGTGAGCCGGACACAAAGCCCTTAGAAGAGCAAGAGGTGTGATATGGGAGGGGGCAGTGAAGGCGGTGACCTAGGGGATGGTGGTGACCGCAGGGAGGGGGAGTCGAAGGTGGCCTGGTGTGATGGCAGGGTCCTGGAGGCAGCTATTTCTGGGGCCGAGGAATGGATGGGAAACAGCAGTGAGGGGGGCGTTCACCTAGGCCACTTCCTGTCCGCAGCGGTCAAGATGCTTGGGCCTGAGAAGATGGGCCCCACTCTGAGAGTGCAGAAGAGACCGGAGTGCAGAGAGCGGGAGGCGGGGACCTGTCAGGGCAGAGGGTGAGGATGTAGGGAGCTTGCAGGAGTGACATCCTGCGAGTGTGGCAGGACGCACATGGGGTGGGGTTTGGAGGACTGGATGGGATTGGCTCAGGGCAGCCGGGGAGGTGGGAGACGGTGGTGGCCAGATGCATCTGAGATCTGGGACTGCTCCATCCTGCTGTGGGGACTTGGCGGCCAGGGAAGAGGCAGAACAGCGAATTGTAGGGTCTCTCCTTGTGAGATGTCTGGAAGGATCTAGATCAGTCACGCGGCTTCCTGTAGCCCTTGGTGTAAGGTCCAGACTCTGCTCAAGGCACCTCAGCCCTCTGCATGCCTCCCCGCCTCAACCCCTGTCCCCCAGGACAACCACGCTCTGCTCAGCTGCCTCGGCCTTAGCCATTTCTGTTTTCTGGGCTGCCCCAACCTGGCTCCCAAGGTTTGCCTGCTGGGCCTTAACCTGGGTGGGCTCTTTCTCGCCGGGATCCGACAAGGGTGACCAGGTGGTTTCTGGAGTGTGAGAGGAACCCGGGGACCTGGGGGGAGATTGGTGTCATCCGGAGGAGAGGGCGCTGTCCCTCTGATGTCCCCACTGCTGTCGGCTGTCTCTTCGAGGCACCTCCCCAGAAGCCTTTAGCAAGCCTCCAGATCCAGCTTCGGGAGCGCCTCCCGCCCTGCCCTCCACCCTTGGACCTGCTGAAGTCCTCCCTGCGCACACATGGCCCCTGAGGTGCTAGAATTGGGTATTCACAGGGGTGAGGACACGCTCGCAGCTGTGTCACCAGCGTCCCACTCAGCTGCCGGGCAGTCCAGGTCAGAGCAGCCAATTAAAGCGATGGGCTGGGGCGCCCGGGTGGCTCCGTCTGTTAAGTGTCTGACTTAGGCTCAGGTTAGGGTCCTGGGATGTTGGGTTCAAGCCCCGTGTTGGGCTCCCTGCTCCGCAGGGCGTCTGCCTGTGATTTTTCCCTCGGCCCTTCCCCTGCTTGTGTGCTCACTCGTGCTCTCTCGCTTCCTCTCGATTAAGGAAGTAAATAAAATCTTAAGAGAAGAAAAGCAGTAGGTCCAAATGACAGGGCCGGTGTGCCTCGGGCTGCTTTCTGTGGCCGTAGGAGCAAGAGGCTGGACGCGAGGGAGGACTGGCTTCCCTCTGTGCCGGTTTCGCCCGGGCTCTGGGCCCCAGTTGGCGGTACGCTCCCTGTCGGGGGAGCCCCAAACCCAAGGCTCGGGCAGGTTGATGGAGCCTGAGTCAGGGAGGAGGGCGCGCGGAGGGCCGGACGACTCAGCCCCGAGGACACGCCCCAGGAGCACTGCAGTATTTGCTGAGCGGATGAGTGAGCGGAGGCCGGAGGCTGAACTCAAGTGAGCGTTTTCTTTAAGCTGGAAGAGGCGTAATCGCGCGGACAGGTTGGTGGGAGCGGCCTCAGGGAGAGAACGGGGGTCACTCTCGAGACAGGGGAGTAGGGGATACTGCGTGTTCCCTGAGAAGGTCGAGGGGCTGGGCTCTAGGGCGCACTGAGCTCAGCCCCTCTGCGGACATGCGCGGGAAGGAAGGGAAGAGGGGCTTGCGCGGGGCTCGGAGGTTTGCTGGAAGCGACAGTGGACGTGGCCACATCAAGGGTCTGTGTTTTCGGTGTGGAGGAGGGGACGCTGCCTGCACAGAGACTGTCAGGGCCGCGCCCGGAGGTTGGAAATAGCCCATGGGCTGGGGAGGGAGAAGGCGGGGTGCCTGCCGGCGTCCGTCAGTCCCCCGTGGCAGGTTGCCCGGCAGGCGTCGTGAGGGCCTGTGGGAAGGTGGCGCTGACTTGGTTATGATCCCCCGTCCTGCTGCCTGACTGGCCAGAGGAAGAGGACGCGGGCTTGAGTCGTGGCGTTGTGCCAGGGGGATGCAGCAGAAAGGGGGTTTTAAATGTCTGCGTGGATGGAGCTTGTGTTTCAGCAGAAAGGAGAGGAGAAGGACCGGTGGCCTGGATGTGGGGACCCTGAGGCTGCAGGGCAGTCCAGGCACGAGCCGTTGGATCCGCGTGCCCCCAGGGGGACATCAAGGCTCAAGAGCGCAGCTTGAAGTTTGGGCGTGGACTGGTTTCGGGGAGTACGAGTGGCCCGGGTCACTGAGTGGGGTGGAGGGCAGAGCCCGTGGCGACAAGGGACGAGCAGCAGGAGGGCCGGGCTGTCCATGTGGGTGTTGGAATCATCCAAGACTCTGCCAGGATCCGGGGTAGGACCTGTCTTCGGAGGTCGCAAGTGAGAGCATGTGACAAGGGAGAGCAGTAGGGGACGGGAGGGAGGAGGGCCTGCGGGTCACAGAGGACACGGAGTCAGGAGCCGGGCTCCAGAGGTGGTGGGGCGACGATCCCACTGGAGAGCGTCTGTGCGCACCTGCTCCTGGAGCTCGTGGTCGCTGGTCATTACCTCTCTGGGCGCCGCCGTCCTGTTGAGCGAGGACTTGGGGGAGTACCGCGGTCGTGGTGTTCGGTAGCTGAAGGCCCACCGCGTTCCCGTTATCCAGGTGCTGGCGGCCACGGGGCGAGGCTCCACCGAGACAGCCGCCGCTTTGTGATCCAGGGCTCTCCTGGCTTCTCCGTCACCAGGAGAGACGCGAGTGTCCGCCGGGCCGCGGGGTCGTTCTCTCGTCTGTAATGTTGCTGCTGCTGCGGAGGTGTTTTCCAACTAGTATTTTTTTCATCAGTTGTGTTCAGGTTCCCCGGAGCGCTGTTCACTGCAGCAGGGAGAGGACGCGGAGAAGGGCAGGGTCTGTCCTGCTGACCAGAGGCTTTCTTTTTGCTTCCTCTTCCTTTGTTTAGTTTTTCTAATTATTTTTACTTGTTTATTTTTAAGATTTTATTATTTATTTGAGAGAGAGAGCATAAGCAGGGGGAGTGGCAGGCAGAGGGAGAAGCAGGCTCCCCGCTAAGCAGGGAATCCAATGCGAGACTTGATTCCAGGACCCGGGGGTCACGACCTGAGCCGAAGGCAGATGTTTAACCAACTGAGCCACCCAGGCGCCCCTAGTTATTTTTGAAGATTTTTATTTATTTTGAGAGCGAGCGAGTGAGCAAGTGAGCAGGGGGAGGGGCCGAGGCAGAGGAAGAGTCTCGGCAGACGCCCTGCTAGCGCGGAGCCCGGCATGGGGCTCGATCCCACGACCCTGAGATCAGGACCTGAGCCGAAAGCAGACGTCCGACGCTTAACGGATGGGGCCAGCCAGGCGCCCGCTGCCTCTGCCTTGATGACAAATGGTCCTTGGTGCCCGCGTCCATGCGTATTTCTTCTCCGGGATGGCCTTTAAGCAGTCAGCACAGTTGCTGGTTTTGCTGGGCTCGCTCCTGACGGTGCTTGGACCAGAAAGGCGCCCCCGAATGCTTGTGCGGCAGGGCCGGGCCGTCCGGGCTCCTCGGGCTCCGTTCCGGCGCGCTCTTCTGGTGCGCTAGGGAATCTGGGGTTTGCTTCCGTGTCCTGGACAGCAGGCAAACCTCAAGGCGAGTCATTTGCTTGTGGGTTGAATATTGCGTTTTTACAAGTGGAAATAACTTGTTTCCTTTGGGCGATCATCACTTGGAAGATGGTAATAAGGGGGAGCAGCTCCAGTCCAAGAGAAGCGTGAACCGGCTCTCGAAAACCGGCAGTGAGCTTGGGAACGGTGGGGTGACGTGAACTTGTCAACTGGTTCCCACGTCACTGCTCTCTCGCTGCCCGGTTCCCAGTCCGGCTTCCATGGGTGCTGGTCTGGGCACGCCGGCCGCAGGCTCCCGCACGGTGAGCGGTCCGCGGGGTCCATGCTGCTCCGTGGAGTGGAAACGCAGCAGGGGCCCTCCTCCTGGTCCGAATGCGTGACATTTGGACATTTTCATAGGCAAGTCTGTTCTTTGTTTAACACGGAGCATTGGTTTTGCTCTAAATAGGTGACATTGCAGGAAACGAGAACGTGAGTTAAAGCAGATTTTAAAAAACATTTAAAATGCGTTAAGTGATATTTGTTATACTTACAATCTTTAATGATTTTATCTACTTTTCATGCTGCACAAGGATTCATTCCCAGGTTAATTGGTTGAGGTAAGGAATGTAGCAAAAGGTATTTTTGAGCCTTTGCAAAGAAATTTTGTTTTTGCTTCATTATTCTTGAAATACGTTATAAGCAGATGATCTTATTTTTAAGTATCTGTGGTAATATAAGTTAGAAATTAAGTTTTGATATAAATTTTTTTTTTAAAATACGAACTTCTTAATATGTATTTCTGGTTTTCTGAAATGACCATTGCTGATACTTTTTCGCTTCATTGGGAAATAAGTTCTGAGTGTAATTAGAAATCTGAGTGTGTCTACAGCTGTGTCTGGATTACTGTAGAAGGCGTGCCCGGTGATTTCCACTCTGCCCACGTAATTTGGTTACAGTTTGTATATAACAATGCTGTTGCTCTAGCATAAATGACCATTTAAAAAAATATGTTTGTTTTTTTAATAATGGTTGAGGGTGTACCTAGGGCTTTCCTGAGTTGGTTTTAAGTGAACTTTTTATAATACATGGAAGTTGTGTGTCTGGTGGCAGACACGACCAGTGGCTGCCCAGGTCCCCCTCGTGAGGCAGGTGTATGCATCCGCCTAGGTCCACAGCCGTGCCCTCCTGCAGGCACCCCCGCTCTGCTGACAGCCTGTGGCCAGCTGGCAGGAGGTGGGTTCCGGAAGGCTGGCCCCTGCATCAGGGCGGGACCCACACTGAGGCGGCTGACAGCCCAGGCCCGATCCGAACACCAGCTGAAACCACATGATCCCTCCCCTTCCCCATCAGCTCCTCTCACTTCCCTCAGGGTTTGTGCCCAGAGCAGTTCAAGCATCAGAACCCCTGTCTCAGGCTCTGTACTTGGGGGCCTCTCCTGCACGGCCACAGGTAGGGGCAGTGGCGTGGTGAGCCCTATGCGCCTGGGACCCAGCCTCAGCAGTGCCCCACATTTTGCTGATCTCCTGATCTTGTTTCCTCTTCCCCCGATATTTTTAGTCGTTGAGTATTTTATGATATGTATCCTACGTCTGTCATTTCACCCATGTTGGGGTGTGTCTGCTGTCCTGCAGGTAAGGGCTGTTGAAATGAGGAGCACAGTGCCGTGGGCACACCTGTAATCCCACCGGCAGAGGAACAGCGGTGCCCCAAGACCGTCCTTCACCCCACGTCGTGCTCACATCTCCCTTCACAGCCTGGCGGGGGAGGGGGGTCTCAGCCTTCTCATGTGGAGTGCAGCAGGCACAGGCAGACAGATGCCGCGGACAGGCTCGGGTGTGGCCCTCCCGCGGCACCAAGTCGCAAAGTCGGACTGCGCCAGGCAGCCGGAGGGCGCGTTCGGACTCCCCTTCCTTCCTCCCTTAGGTCCTGGACGCCTCGGCCCTCAGCTTCAACACCAGGCTGAAGTGGTTCGTCATCTGCTTCGTGTGCGGCATTTTCTTCTCTGTCCTGGTGAGTTCCAGCCTCCTGTCGCCCCGTGACTTCTGTTCTCGGCCCAGCTAGTCCCGTGTCGTCCAGCAAGCAGCCTGCCCTCTGGGCTGCCGCCGGACTGTTTCCAGGGGGACGTGGTCACTGGAAAGAAAGGGCTGGAGGGCCATACAGAGATGCCGAAATTAGTATTTGCTGGGGGTGGGGGTTACAGGTTGTGAAAATAATTTTTTTTTAAGAAAAATCAGTGTGTGTGGAAAGCTGCAGAGCCGGGAATTGAAATGAGTTAACTGTTTAACTCGCTGTGTATAAAGAATGTCACTTTACGTAGGGTGAGACGCTCGCACACGTGTAGGGAAGTTCCGTTATGGGTAAGTTGTGGGTACTCGTATGCAAACCGGGCAGAAGAGTCCACTTGGCAAATAACAATGACCATTAACTGTCTTTAAAATGATGTAAGTAGAGACCCGGCTAGCACATTTGTACTTAAACTGTAGTTTACTGTAAATCGTATTATTTTTACTTAGCGTGGTTATACTTTACGCTATCACAATGGTAAAACTTTCAAAATGTGTCTGAACTCAGGGGACCGGATTGCTGTGGCTTCCTGGTGGCATAAAGCTGTTTGCGGTGTTTTATACCTTTGGAAATCTCGCCGCGCTCGCCAGGTGTGTACAGAGGTCGGGCTCCTCCGGGTCTGCTGTGCTGGTGCCAGCCTTCCTTTCCAGGAGACACCGCCTGAGTGGCACGGCTTCTGGAGCCACGAGACCGATGTTCGTTCGGTAAATGCTCGTGGCCTCCTGCGTGGCCAGGAGCGTCGTGGCGTGGGAACGGTGGGAATAGCTAGCCTTCGGGGCACTTGTAAGTGCTTCCGTCTGCTACCCTGGTGTCTGAGGTGGGCACTGTTATCACCCCCACTTTATGGCCCAGAGAGGGTGAGTCACCACCCCGTGATGTGCCCAGTAAGGTGACCGCCAGGCTCTCTACCAGACCGTCCTCCAGACCCCGGCTCCTGGGGCTGCGCTCTGGTCCCTGCGTGGGAAGCACCGTCTCGGAGGGCTAGGGCCGGACTGGAGGTCCTCCGGGCGTGGTGCTGAGTGGGGAGATCACAGGGCGAGGGGCGCCAGCCTGCCCGGAGCATGTGGGATTGGGCGTGGGAAACCCCCTCTGAGGATCTCGGTACCCAGTTTGGGTGTGTTGACATCTGCTGGAGAAGTTCTGGGTTTGTGTACACTGAGTTTTCGGAGGTGACCTTCTGTCTCCTCAGGAGTTTTCTGGATCAGAGGTAGTCAGGTGAACCTGCGAGAGCCGAGGCCAAGCTCGGGGCTTTCCGGGCTCGAGCCTACAGAGCTGCTCCTTCAGGCTCCCAGCGGAGCAGAGCCCAGCTCAGCGGTTTTAGGTCGTGTTGCTCTTGGGGGCTTCCCGCTGACCGTTATTCGGGGGTCGTGTAGTGTTGTTCTGGTCGGTAGCGTGCAGGGGTGAGGAGGGCCAGTGCCTGAATGGGCTCAGATCGGGAGCGGACAACCTGTGGGCACGGACGGCCTCGGCATTGCGTTCAGCGGGAGCTCTGAAGTCACCCTCGGGAGACCTTCTGAGAGACCGTGCTGTGTCCTAGATGCCGGAGTCAGGCTCCTCTCCGGGGCTTCTGGCTGGCTGCGTCGGTAGGCCATGTGACTCTTGATCTGGGGGCCACGAGTTCAAGCCCATGTTGGGCCTGGAGCTTTGTTAAAAAGTAAAGTATTAAGCTTTTAAAGAAAGTTTACTTTTTGGGCGCCTGGGTGGCTCAGTGGGTTAAGCCGCTGCCTTCGGCTCAGGTCATGATC